CCCCCGTGTGGTTGCTCGTCGAAGTAAAGACAGCCTCTCGACGGATACAAGTCACTCATGTTGGTTGAGTACACAGCCGAGTTGAGCTGGCAGAGACCTCCATCTTGGCAGAAGTTGAAGGATTTGCAGGCGTCTTCGCGCAGACACTCCGCGGCGCAAACCGCGTGGGAATTCACCGTGTGATTACGGTAGTCCCGGCCAACTAGTGCGTGGTCCCGCAGTGGTCCACGGTAAAACCGGTGGATGTCCCCGCTCAGTAGTCGATGCTCTCGCGGACCAGGGAGGCAGGACTTTATTTCCGATTTCGCGGAAGAAACGCCGGTGAAAAGTGCCAACAAGTCGAGATAAAATGTGATGAAACTCATCGCTGATAGCTGATCTATTGTGAAAATGAACGCAGAATACTTTTTGTGCGTTATTGTTTGAATCAGTTTTTTTTCCTAGCTTAGTTGAAAAAGACTAAATGTTATGGAGCTGTCATGAAGCTCAAAGTTCTGAAATTATGATCACGAGAAATTGATAATTTGCCCAAGACTAAAATTACAATAAGGGCTTGTGACATATTTTATTAAGTGCAATAGTCCTTTAAGGCAATAATTGTGATCCTAAAATATAGATGAGATCATAAAAATATAGATGTGAATTTTTTTTTGAAATTCTCATGACGTCCATAAACAAGGCAAAAATAAAACAGCACAATGTTACCTTCTAAAGTCTCTGTAACTCGTCACACTAGACTTCACTTTCCAATTTTCCAACACTCGACTTACCACCAACACGTCTCGACTCTTTCAGTCAATTAAAGAATGAAAGGTTTTCGTTGAGAGAACCTGTCACTACTATTGTTCAGAAATCGCACGCTCGTTGTCACGGCGCATGCGTACAGCCACACGCTTAAGCCAATCCCTAAAGACACGATGATCATTATAGAAATATTAATAACAATATCTCTGTGACAAACGTTATTGTGAATCCGCCGTGCTCCTGGGTTTTCGAAATCCTAAGTTTCAGGAAGATTGAGTTAAGTTTCCTCGAACTGAGTAAATCTCAACTCTTCGGAAGTATGGATACACACGAAGTTGTGCTTTTGTCATTTCTACAATAATATCTACACACATTAATCGTTTTTGAATAACATAGACCGATAAAAAAAATTGCTATGAGATGGAAATAGTATGAATCAGGAATCATTTGTGGCCTGACAATTATTCAGTTCGCGAAATAAACATTGGTTCCAACCCCCCCCCCCTTTTATAGCACCGGTGATTTGGGCACTATAGGACGATCCTACACTCTAAAAACGCCTGGGTCAGATTGACAAGATTGACACCAAATCTGAATCTATATTTACCCAGTCCTTTTCCTGTTAAAAAAATACACTTTTCTTTGTCAATAAATGATCTAAGACACATGTCATTTTTGATCCGGAGAAGTGTCATTGTGACCCGGAAAATGACCTGGAAAAGCACTGAGCAAATATAGATTCAGATTTGGGTCACTTAATTTGACCAAGGGGTTTTCAGAGTGTACTTACGTCTTTTTCTATAGGGCTTAATTCTCCCAAAAAAGAAATAAAAAAAAAAATTAACAGACAAAAAGAAATCGTCGATATTAATTTTATTTTTAAAGTAAAACTATACAGTATACTCTTCAATAGTTTATTGTTTTTAAAAACCTCCTTTGCATGTACATGTACCATGAACTTTAGTTTACTGTCCCTTTCCTACATAATTATGCGACTAGGCCATTGCTCCGAGATACAGAGCAACCTTTGTGCGAGAGGCAGAGGCCTACTCTTTGACATTTTGCGAATACACGTTGGTTTCAAAAGTCGGTCATCTCTGAACTAATACGAATATTGTCCCTGCAAATTCGGCAGTGACTAAAACTAAAATGGTTCACTTCACAATCTTGTTCCGGTTATTACTTTCGAATACGACGAGGGGTTGTTTACGTTCGTGGTAGTGAGTTTTATTATACTGGGCGTGTGTGGGCTAACAACTGGCATCGATCGACCTCTTCCGTAGGCGAGGGGCGCATTGTTGAGCTCGCTCCCTTTATGATCCCAAAATTAATATCGGTGGTTCAAACATAGGTTTCGTTTTTAAATTGCCAATGATATAGCCAAAAGGCCAAGTGCCATCAAAAACCAAGTTCAATTTTAAAAGGAACGTTGCTTTGAGGGGGCAAGGAAAAATACATGAATTCTGAAAGATTTTGTTTTTAAATGAAATATCGTTGTTTATCGACCCGGTTATGTTGCCTATAACTCTCACATTAATTCCATTGGAATCTTTTGCACTGATACTTTCTGACTTATTGCGGGCCTCAATTTCCAGTAGGTCTTGGATTTAAGACCTCCAATTGCTTTTGTGTTTCTTATACAGACGGACTTGAGCATTACAGGGATTATACATGTGGAGTGCCGTGGCCTCCTCGTCTGGAGCAGAGCATTCGTGGTCTGTGGGTAATTAATTCTGCAGGTTGTGGGTTCGAGACCAGCCTAAGGTTATGGTGGGGATGCACTTGGGCAAGGCCCTTGACACTCATTGCTTCTCCCAACCAGGAGTAAATGGGTACCTGTGAGGGCAGAGATGGTTATTGTGGCTGATTTTAGCTGCTTTGTGCCGGAATGGCGGCATCGAGTTGTACACTCCCCAGGGAGCTGAAATTGTATTTGGAATGTGTCAATAGCCCAAATGAGGTTAATACTGATGTTATTTATTTTATTTATTATTTATTACAATATATTTATACATAATAGAAAGATCAGCAAAGGCTGTTTAACATCAATGTCCTGTTAAAAAAACCCAAAACACAAATGAATACAATCGAAGGAAGAATCAAACAATGAGGACTGAGGAAAACTCAATCATTTATTAAAAATATTGCTTTAGCCGGAGCGTATTAATCGCTTCCACATTTTTTTGTTTTATATTGTCCCAGCCACGTGGTAGCCATGCCCAGGTCATCTATCACTAGATCCTAGTATGGACCATGGTACATCCACCAGAGGGGGTGTCAGTTTTGTGATCCTACTGGAGGGGTTGAAAATTGGCGGGAAAACCTAGTGTGCTTGTGAACATGTACATAGGCTTGTGAACAAATGCACTGTTCACATAGGGATTGCCTCGATCACCCCTGTGACCAAAATAGAACTGTCAAATGGCATTGACAGGGTAAGTCTGTGGTTTTAATGGCTGTTTATTATCATAAATTATACAAAAATTTAAAATTATCATCAGAGGGAGCTTTCTGATTTGGTGACGGAATATTGTTCCAAATTGTAGCATACCTAAATGATTGTTTGAAACATTCAACATTTGGTTGAGGAAAAACTACACTGCTTTGATGTAACACCATGAGTACCAAGGTATTGGATCATTTGCAGGGTTTCGATCAGTACGTGCCCACCACTACCTGCTCTCTCACCCTGGTATTGGATCATTTGCATGTTTAAGATTTTTGAACGCGTATGCAAACGAGGAGTAGTCTGGTGCCTGCATTTGCGTTACATTAGCGTTTGTTTTTGTATGCGGTGTCTTGGGTAAAAACAGCCGCAATTCGTCGGGCCGTGAGTTATATGAAAACACGATATTTTTGGAAGTTAAAATGTTACAATCTGGCCCGCCAATATGCAGTATCACATTTCATATTAATATGAGCAAACTGGAAAGGAGAGGAGTATTTTTGAGAAGGCGTGGACGTTAAAATTAGAATGGTCTTGAAGACACGTAATGCACGTTGGAACTAACATTACTTACTACACAATATAAATCCATTACTAGCAAATTGCGGTATCGAATCAGGATACAGGAATAAAGTAAGCACCGGGGACGAGTTTGCAATACGGGTGTATGTGTGCACTTGTAAATACACACATTATTATTATTATTACATCCTTTACTCAGACAAGACGCCTTTGCTTTAATATGCTAAGCAATTAGCAATAAACACCCGATATTTAAAAAAAAAACCGCCTAAATTCGACTCAAACCGAGTCTACCGAGCGCGTGACTCTTCAACGTTTTGTCAGTGTCATAATTGGCAATGTCCTGTTTTTCTCGTGTTTAAAAAAGATAGGTCTTGGGTACTTGTTTTGATGGAGGCCCTGCCTATAGACATAATTTAAAAAACACTTTCGAATTTCCTCCGAAACGCATGTTTTCCTCCATGCTTAACAAAAGCAACATTTCTTAGGTAATGTAATCCCCTGCCCTGATTTCTCATTGGCCAAAATGTCCAACCAGTACGAAATACACAAAAAAGATATGAAAATTGTAGGGATATTAAGATGACATTGAACTCATGTAAGACTTGCTTATCCTATTACCCACATTAGCATTAAAAATTGACAATAATTACAAAAACTCAAACTTCCGACTTTAAAGGAGTCTACTGAGCGCGTAAACGTTTTTGGCTTTCCTGTGTTGAAATTGGAAATATCCTGTTTAGGTGTTCTTAGAAAAACAGGATTGTGTGCCTGAATTGATGGAGTCCCTGCCATTATTAAAAACAAATGCAATCTAATTCACACAATTTATCTTTAGATTCCTTTCTAGCGGCAGTGCCAACGCCAAAATGTCACGGGCGACGTACGTTTTGAATAACTAAACACATGCGTGTTATGATTAATTACACGGCGCCAAGATGTCGCTCCCTACAATTATCTTACACTATAAATACAATTTGAAACTTCCTTAAAAAAGGATCTTTTTTTTCACCGAAGCAACACTGATGTATAAATACTCTGGTCTAGGGTTTAATTTGTCAACTCTGTGTTGTGGGAAAAACCGAAAAGGTTCAAAGAGTGGTGCACTAAGGTTATTATCAGGCTTGACGCCGAACCATCAGCTTCGCAGGATTGCAAGTTACGTTTTGATCAGTGTCTTTCTTGCAAGAATTATTAAGCCACTTCTTTGTAGATTACTGTTCCGAATATCGTAAGAGGGGGCTTGCTTTTGCTGTTCTCTGACAAAGCATCTGAAACAACAACGAAGATGGCAATACAGGTAAGTTTTTCTCACTAATTATTTTCGTTACAAGTACATAGGCCTACGTTCACAAGTCAAGAGAGCACAGTAAAGCCTGGTCTCAGAGCACATTATTGTCTTTTCAATCGATTTAAAATGGCTCATCACTGGAAGTCTCTTCTACAAACACAATAGGCCAGATTAGTCTATCATTGTCCTTTACGGTGGTAATCCTATTCCAAACTTCTGGGCCAAGTCTAGTTCACAAGGGACAGTTATGCGCCTTTCAAGTGTTTCCCCCATCCCTCCGCAGGTTGACCAAATTCCCAACCCTAGGGTAAACTTTAACCCTAAAAGGGGCCGGGGCGGAATCAGGCCCCCTGCCCTTCAACTTTTTCCGCGATAGCCCTGAATTTTTTTTTTTTTCGCGGCCTTGAAATGTTTAGTCTCGAGCCTTGGCGCATCTTTGATACTAAAAACACAAAAATTGGACCACGGGTTGTCGCGCAGCGAATTTTTTTTTCGGCGCCATGCACCGTCAAAACTGAATGTCCACATATACGTATTGTTCAAAGAGCAGAATTACCATTCGTGCATATGAATAATGAAATAGCCATAATTCCAAAACCCTTTGAACTACGGTCAAAATAACCCGGCCCTTTTAGGGTTAAGTGATAATCTTAAAGCTATAGTCCATCATTTGTAATTTGTGCATTTTGTTCGTTTGAAGCAACAAAAGAGTTCAAAATCTAATGAAGGATACTGAACAACTAACCTGATGAAGTTTCAGCTAAGTTTCAGCTGTACATTCCGAGAAAAACAGCATTCTAAGATCTCAATTTCAAATCAAAAGTTACTGAATCATGTTTTGAATTGTTTTGAATTGCAGCTTTACGCGACGTAGCGCACTGATCCGACGAATTATAACAACCGCGCGCGCGTGTGCGTCGTTCCAATACTTGTGCGCGCTGCGCTGAATAACAAACGAACTACTAATTTAAATTTTCCTACGGTGCTTCTTAAGAATCACCGTTGGAAATGCCTTCTTTCGTTGATTACTTCAAAATGACAACTTCCCAGAAAGAATAATTTCACAGGGAGTTTAGTTCCCTCACTATCTTTCAACCAAGTTTGTTTTTCCACAATAAATACGCCAGTTACTTTTCGGATGGCTGCAAATGATGGACTATAGCTTTAAACGAACATGGGCGGAGTAGCCTAAACTGCCTGGTTGCCTAGTTTCTATCTAGTGCGCAAATGGTAAAACTATTCGTGTGGGACCACAATTCCCCTCATTGGGGCTTGATAAAAGTCAGCAAACCCTGACATAGGACCTGGGGCATGAAGGAGGAGGGGAAAGGGGGGGGGGGGGATTGATAACTACATTAATGAGTGAGTCAGTCAAGTAAGTGTAGATGTAGATATTTGAGACGACGACTGCGGGGAGGGGTTAGTGATGAGAGAATCCAGAATAATTGTCCAAGCAATGCAAATAGAAAGGAAGGTATGCCATCGGTGGCGCTGATTAAGATATGGGGGTATTAATTAAAAACAATTAATCATGTGGCACAATCAACGCCGGCTCAAACAGTTGGGAGATGCTGTGGCGGCAAAACACTTTCCCTATCTCACGGGACTTACTTTCCGGTTCTTCCATCAAAACGTTACTCAAAGTCTCAAATACTTATCTCCAACGTATTCTCCATCCTTTTCAGAAGCAAAGAAAACCCACAGGATTGCTTTCGGTGATTTTGTTGTTGTGGCTCTCAAGTTGTCATGGTATCGTTCAGGAAGAACCCAAAGGCTCGTCAGGTTGCTGCGGTGCTTGCTTCCAAGGCCCCGCCGGAACACCAGGCGTACCTGGAATTCCAGGAAATCCAGGTGGAATTGGGGTTCAAGGACCTCTTGGCCCCAAAGGTGACCCTGGGTTTGGCCTCACTGGACCCAAGGGAGAAACCGGTTACCACGGACCGAAGGGAGATCATGGCGAGCCTGGGATGCAGGGACCTCCGGGGAAGCAGGGACCTGTGGGTCGCAAGGGAGACATCGGTGAGGGTCAGAAAGGTGACCAGGTGGAGCTAGGGATTCAAGGCCCACAAGGACTGCCTGGTGAAAAAGGGCAAAAGGGCCCGCCAGGAGAGGCTACCCTTGTTACACCAACTGCGCCCTCTGCCGTCGCATTCAGTGCTTACCGTACGTCTGGCGTTACAGGCAGTAGTCGCGATATCATCATCTTTGACAACATCATGACGAATCTTGCCGATGGGTACGATTCGGGATCGGGCATATTCACATGCTCGACACCCGGTGCCTATTTCTTCACGACTAGTCTACAACGCATGTCATCATCGACGCATCTTCATGTACGACTGAAAAAGAACAGGGAGATCATCTTTGCGATCTATGATAATCATGGCAGTTACTTCCATCAGTCCAGCAATTCAGCGATCATTTCCTTAGCTTCGGGAGATAGAGTATGGCTTGAGTTCGCTTCCAGTGGCAGAGGCATTCGCAGTGAACCCGGGAACAAATATTCTTTCTTCTCAGGTTTTCTAATCCATGCAACCTAACACAAGTGTAAAAAGGCGACTGTACACAATTTTAACCTTTGTCTGGCCTAATTTGCCCTTTTGCCAAGACGTGGATCAATTTTATATTCAATGCAACGTTTACTCCAATACTTAGGCCGTAATGAAAAACGAACTAAAACTTTACACAATGGAGGAAAAAAGAATTACATGCAATGTAAAATCATTTTAAATATAAGTATAAGTTTGTAGACAAAAGCCTGGTTCTCTTCTACATTATGGACTAAAGCAACTCACAAAACATGTCAAAAACACTTTTCAAAACATTATGTTCTGTTAAGTTGGCAGTAATGTTTGGGGCAGTTCTGCATTTCAAAAAAAGTATTTCTGATACAATAGTAATGATAAAACAAAATCTATAAACCAAACAAAACCCACAGACTAAAACAAAACAACGCCAAGGTAAAAAAAACTAATGTGATTGTTTTTAGTTATTTTATTGTAATCAATGCTTTTTTATGAAAAGTATGAAACATTTGTGTATTTTGCGCTTTGTTCAGCGCAATGTTATAAATGTAAAATATCAAAAGGCACTGAAGAAATCATGTTGCATGTTGTATGTTGAATGTTTTATTACATTATAGTAAGTAACAGTTATTGTATGATGCATGGCATGAAATGACGTTAGGAAGGTAGATAGTCAGCATCGTCACCACGAAGTCACCTTAACCCCCGCAAAGTGGAAAATGTTTATTTCGAGAAGCGATTTAAGGTGACGATGTTTTGAAACGGTGATCTGAATATCGTTTTAGCCTCAAAATTCATATTTCGTTGCATTGTCTGAAAGCTGGGATCTTGAATGACACGTTAATGTATTTTTTTATTGAACAAAACAACTATTAACCCTGGGAGCAGCTTAGCAAAAAAAATCACACGGAGTGGCCACGTGGAGAATTTTATCACCACATGTGTTTCTAGGTCAATAAACCCTGCATGCCTATACATGCACAAGATATAGGCCATTCACATCGTCAGGGATTGTTTACAACCTGTCTGAGCTCTGGGCGGCACGAGGGGTTGACACAAAGAGATCGGCGGCACAAAGGGTTTGGCCGCCATTTTCTCCAATTACTGCACAAAGGCATGAGCTGCCATCTTGGCTTCTGTCTTTCAACACTCCTTACTCCGGAGTGGCTAATGCCTGACCAATGGGTGTCTACAGGCTTGTGATATTAAAATCATTCTTAAAAAAAGGTTCCTGTCCATTTTCAAGATTCTTGAGTCAAAAATCGTGGCAAAATATTGGGCTAAATTTCAATTCAATGCAATGTGTTTATCTTGGGTTTTGTTACAATAACTTTGTTTACATCGCAAACGGACATAAGTCGGCGCAGGGTGAGCAGAGTTTATGTAGCGCGCCCTCCTTTGGAAGAAACTGATGACGATAAAATAGGGAGTGTCCTTTCACTGCAATTTCCTTAAATGATATCAAATTCATTCTTTCACGGTTCCTGTCGATTTTCGAAATTCTTGTGTCAAATATCATGGCAAAATACTGGGCGAAATTTCTTTTAAATGCAATGTGTTTATCTCGAGTTTTTGTCGATACAGTAACTTTGTTGACATCGCGAATGGACGGAAGTACGGAGTGTCCTTACACTGCAATTTCCTTAAATTAAACTAGATTCATTCTTTCACCATTCCCTGTCAATTTTTGAGATTTGTATTAAATAGGCCATTTATATCGTCTCCACAAAGAGTGTCAAAAGACAACAAAATTCGGCATGAACTTTTCGTGATTAAAACGCTTAGGCCTATTTTCTTTAAATCATATGAAATGTGTCCTTCCACGGTTCACGACAATTTTCAAACGGGTTGTGCCACATTTTATGGTCAATAATTGGACGCAATTTCAATCCCATGCGATATGTTGTTCTTGAGTTATCGTCTGAACAAAGGGTGTCAAAAGAGACTAAAATTCGGAACTAACGTTTTCGTGATTAAATTAAACGCTTAGGTCTATATTCTTTAAATCATATTAAATGTGTTCTTCCTCGGTTGACGTCAATTTTCAAACGGGTTGTGTCACATTTTATGGTCAATAATCGGACGCAATTTCAATCCCATGTGATATGTTGTTCTAGAGTTATCGTCTCAACAAAGGGTGTCAAAAGAGACTAAAATTCGGAATGAAGTTTTCGTGATTAAATTAAACGCTTATGCCTATATTCTTTAAATCATATTAAATTTATTCTTCCTCGGTTCCCGTCAATTTTCAAACGGGTTGTGTCACATTTTATGGTCAATAATCGGACGCAATTTCAAACCAATGCAATATGTTGTTCTTGAGTTATGTTCTCCACAAAGAGTGTCAAAAGAGACTAAAATTATGAATGAACTTTTCGTGATAAAAACACTTAGGCCTATTTTCTTTAAATCATATTAAATGTGTTCTTACACTGTTCACAACAATCTTCAAACGGGTTGTGTCACATTCTATGGTCAACAATCGGACGCAATTTCAATCCCATGCGATGTGTTGTTCTTGAGTTATCGTCTCAACAAAGGGTGTCAAAAGAGACTAAAATTCGGAAATGACGTTTTCGTGATTAAATTAATCGCTTAGGCCTATTTTCTTTAAATCATATTAAATGTATTCTTCCTCGGTTTCCGTTAATTTTCAAACGGGTTGTGTCACATTTTATGGTTAATAATCGGACGCAATTTCAATTCCATGCGATATGTTGTTCTAGAGTTATCGTCTCAACAAAGGGTGTCAAAAGAGACTAAAATTCGGAATGAAGTTTTCGTGATTAAATTAAACGCTTAGGCCTATTTTCTTTAAATCATATTAAATGTGTTCTTCCTCGGTTTCCGTCAATTTTCAAACGGGTTGTGTCACATTTTATGGTCAATAATCGGACGCAATTTCAAACCAATGCAATATGTTGTTCTTGAGTTTAATAGTGATCCGCATCGACAGAAGACGGTGATTGAACAGTGTTTGTGCAGCGCGTTCTCTTTTGGAAGAAATTGATGGCAGCAAAAAGTCCGGAGTGTCCTTACACGCTGTGTTTTTTTTATTGTCTTTTTTATTTTAACATTTTATGTTATAATATCATCACCGATTATTCAACGAAATTTCATTTCAGTGCAATGTGTTTTCTTGTGTTATCATCTCCACGCGTTTTACTTTTGTTCAATTAAAAGTGAATTGAATTCGGATTGATTTTTTCGCGATTGAAACACTGTTTTATTTAAATTATATTACATTTGTTTTTCCACAGTTCCCATCAATTTTCGCAAGGTTTGTGTCAAATATCACGGCAAATTATGGGACGAGATTTAGATTCAATGCAATTTGTTTTTCTTGAGTGATCGTCTCCAGCAAGAGTGTTTTATTTGTGTTCCATTAAAAGTGACTTGAATTCAGAATGAATTTTTCACGATTACTTCATTGTTTTTTCTATAAATCATATCAAATTTATTCTCCCATGTTTCCCGTCAATTTTCAAAAATCGTGTGTAAACTGGTATGGCCAATTGTAGGCCGAAATCTCAAATTCAATGCAATGTGTTATTCTTGAGTTATTGTCTCCACAAAGAGTGTTTTATTTGTGTTCAATTAAAAGTGACTTGAATTCGGAATGTATTTTTCGCGATTAAAACACTTTGTATTATTTAAATCATATCAAATTCATTCTTCCACGGTTCCCGTCAATTTTCTACATTCCTGTGTCAAATATTATTTTCAATATATGCTGACCAGTGTTTGTTGTTTATTGTAGTTGCGTGTCTTTTTTCTTCCACAGTTCCCGTCGATCATTTCAAAACATTTTTATTTCATAATGTCACCACAAATTCTTGAACGAACATTTTTAATTCAATGCCATATGTTACGATTTAGTTATTGTCTCCACAAAGAGTGTTTTACTTTTGTTCAATTAAAAGTGACTTAAATTCGGAAAGAATTTTTCGCGATTGGAACACTGTTTTATTTAAATCTTATTAAATTTAATTTTCCACGGTTCCCGCCAATTTTCAAAAGGTTTATGTCAAATATCACTGCCAATTATGGGATGAGATGTCAATTCAATGCACTGTGTTTTACCTGAGTTATCGTCTCCATAAATAGTGTTTTATTTGTATTCCATTAAAGTGACATGAATTCAGAATGAATTGTTTCGCGATTATTACACTGTATTTTCTATAAATCATATCACATTTGTTTTCCCATGGTTCCCATCAATGTTATAAAAGCTTGTGTAAAATGTTATGGACAATTATAGGCCAAAATCTCAATTCAATGCAATATGTTTTTCTTGAGTTATTGTTTCCACAAAGAGTGTTCCATTTGTGTTCAATTATAAAGAGTGACTTGAATTCGGAATAATTTTTCGCGATTTAAACACTGTGTATTATTTAAATCATTTCAAATTTATACTTCCACTTTCCCGTCAATTTTCTACATTCTTGTATCGAATATTGTTGCCAATTATGGGACGAAATCTCTTTTCAACGCAACGTTTTTTTTTGACTTATTGTCTCCTCAAAGAGTGTTTTATTTTTGTTTAATGGGCAGATCGTGATCCGCATTGACATAAGTCGTTACGGTGGTGACCAGTGTTTTTGTAGCGCGCCCTCTTTTGAAAGTAGGCCTACGGACTTTCCTTACGAACTGTTTTATTCTCGTATTTTTCCACGGTTCCCGTCGATTTGTTAACTTAGTATGTAATAATATCACGAGTAATTAGTAAATGAAATTTGATTTGATTTCAATGTTTTATCCAATATCCATTATGATTTCAGGAGTCTATTTGCAGTCAGGTAAAATATCACTTTCATATACGAACAAAGTTCCATTTCTTAGCTGTTTTCAGCAAGTCTTGTAGCTGAATATAGCTCTTACAATTAAACACCTTTAAGAAGACGTCACATGACGTCAAATGACCGATGATGACGTCATCAGGACGTCACCTCAATTTTAGCCTATAACACGTCCTCGTCGACGTACATACCAAGTCACAACCCAATAGGTCTCGT